AAATGGGATAAATAGTCCAAATAATGAGATCCATTGCAGAGATCAATGACTTTTGTGATGGGTTTTTGGGAGAGAGAGAGAGAGAGAGAGAGAGTGAGAGAGAGAGAGAGATTACGTAAAACTAAACCTTTAAAAATACTATAAATAACTTATGAATTGTTAATAAAAAATAAAGTAATATATAAATATAAAATATAATATTATATAAAATTTATATGAAATACAAAACTATAGATTGTTCTCGAATTTCCAACACATTTACATTTTGCCGAAGAATATAATACGTAAAGGCATTGAATATTTAATTTATTTGAAATCATTGTTTATTAGTAAGAGATTATTGCATATAATATGCAATACTTTTGTCGGTGAATAACTATTACATTGAAAATCTTATGAATAGATAGATATTCCGTAAGTGAATCCCGGATTCAGCCATAAATGCTTAATAAAAAAAGTATTGAAAGTGAACGCTGTGTCTAATCAGCAAAATTTCTGCTTAAATTTCTTAAAACAATTTTTGAATGACATTTTTAATGATAATAAATGACATTTTAAATAAACAATTAAAACATTTCGTAAAAATAGCTATACATTTATGGACTATAAACAGCTGTAAGTGTAGTGTAAGTTCGGTACAAATTTCTGATATAAATTTCGCAATTTTATTAAATTAACATAAATTGAAATCAATTGATATGATATGTTAAGGGAATCGGATATTTAGGAATAGATTTATGTTTAAATTATTTTTAAAAGATTTTTTAAAGATTTATGAATTAAATAATAAACAGGACTTACAATTCATACAAATTGGAAAAAATTGTTATTTTGGTAACTTTAATAAATCTTTAAAATTATATAAATTTCATGTTATTCTTACTATAATTCTTATAAAAAATTCTGATATCATTTCATTAAATCACATGAGTTTCAATCAACTCTACCGCTGATAATATAAAACAACATAATAAAGTACACTATTGAGAGTGCGATACGATATAGTGAACACACAAACTATAAGGACATTTTAGTTTATGTCCCGAAGTGGTGTCGCTCTCCGAATGTACGCTAATCTGTCGATAATTTGAACATAAAATGTGCTTTCAATGCATGAATTGTTTAGGAATTTATTATTAGGAACTGATATACGATATCGTATTTGAGTATCAATTGGTGCATAAGTTGTGGTACTCTTAGACACCGGCGTGTATTGTGTTTCGGTATCTCAACCATAAGCATGTGATTCAATCATATGTATTGTATTATCAAACAATCTTGTGATTAAAATGACAAGACTTTTGTAACACTTTTCTTTATTTCATCTCATTTTTTTGTCATCCAATATAAGGCACAGTCATCTCATGTGTATTTAATACCATGTATAAGTAGTTTAAACGATATTTTAATTATCTAATCACTAATTAATACATCTTTTGTTTAACAAAACGCGTGATATTGTATTAAATAATTAAAATCTTTTAAATTCAATGTTAATTATATATTGTAATGAAAAACAGTTGTCTTGAAACTATTTTTCAATAGACATTGATTGTCAATACTGTATCTGTTTTTAGTTCAAAACTCAATGAAAAGTCGAAAAAAAAATTTTTTAAATAATTTTTCAATGGATTTGTAAAACTATGAAAAGAAGGAAAACAATCAGTTATTTTTGACTAAAAATGTGTTGAAATTCGTATACTCTCTTCAAAAACATATTTTGACAGTTGTTTTGAGTTTGAAAAAGTTTAATAACACTTTTTGCCAATTTTTGGTTGTATTTCTAATGCTTACTGTTATTTGGTTTTTTTATTTCATGCAATATTAAAATTTTAATCATATAAAGTATTATACACTTTTATACAGTATTAGTACAAAATTCTGTTTTTTATTCACAAAATACTGTATTTATATTAAATATATTAATTAGTTATTATAATTAATATTGTATGGAATTCCAATTCATTAATTAATAATTAAATTAATCAAGATCAACATTCACAAAATAGTTAAATATAGAAAATAAATTATTTATTCATAGATTGCAAACGTTATTAACATATTTTGCTAATAGTGTCCCATATTTTGATTTTACAAATATGTATACAATATATAAATCTTATTATAAAAACAATTTTAAGATTTCTATTTAAAAAATTTAAAATTGCTATCAAAATAACAGTCAAATTACAAACAAATCAATTCAATGTAATTCACTGTCATTTAAAAAACAAATTTAATTAAATTGAGAATCACTTGAAAATTATAAGGGAATGAAACAAATATCAAACTAACAGAGAATCAAATTAATTGATTGCAACACAAAATAATACAATTCATAAGAAAACAAATCAATACAAAAATATAATTAAAGTTAATTAATAATAAATTAATTGTTTAAATAATTAATACAAAAATAATATGACTTAGAAATTGAATCAATTGACGAGAAATTCAAACATTTTGAAGGCTTTTATCAAATAATATGAACTGCGGTTCAATCGTGTCCTGCATTTCGATGGCATAAATGCTGGCGTGAAGTCCGATCACGAAGAATGAGGCGCCGATCACCTGATGGACAAAACAAAGACAATGGTTAGCAAAGAATGGGTCATAAATTGATGGATACAGTGATGGCCAGGAATACAGACCCAGAAGACTGCCTGTCCAGCGCCGGCCAAATAAAACAACGGAAACGATACGATCATTAAGAAGAGGTACTGTTGTCCTAATGAGAACTTATGGCCAAACAGTTTGAGCGGACTCTCGGCGTTCTTCAGCGTCAGTATATAACTGAGTCCAGCGATGGCTGCGATGGCCAGCAATAGGAGCGGACTCGTGAGGATGCAGTACACGATCAACACCAACGATACGCACAGATAGTTGCTCTGGAAGTGCTCGATGTTGCGGACCAGACGTCGCGACCACTGGACCGTCGAGTTCGGTGTCTTCATGCGATTCGTGTCGATAAAAGAGCCCCAACTCTGAAGCCGCGACCACAGCGTGTTGTATATGTCTTTGGGTGACATCTTATTGAGTCCGAGACCAGTCTTGGAGAGCGGATGTGTCGGCGATGTCTTCAGCAGTCCGTCCAATAGACCCGACGGCTCGTCGATAGTGACAGAAGTGGTGTCCGCGTCGGCGGTCGTCGGCGACGACGACAGTAGCGGTTCTGCGGCCGTTGTGTCCGACTTTGTGTCCATTGTGTTGGCAATCAGTGGATCAGTTGTGATGACATACGCCGTGAAGAAGTGGTGTTTGTATTGAGTGTTGAGTTGGCTTTCAATCACTTCTACAGTGTTTTCATTGACTTCTCATTGAATACAGAGTTTGTGTTCAACACTAATAGAGGACACCATTGGATGCCATTCACGACACACACAACACATCACCCCTTTTGGTCCACAAGAATCCCATACAAACCCTGTCTCTAATGTTTGACACAATAGTCTTGGAATTTATTTTATTTATTGTAAAATTAATTTTTATAATATTTTATTTTTAATTAATTAAGGATTAAATCAAATGTTTTTATTTATTTATTAAAAGCATATATTTTCTACTCGTTTTGATGTGTTATAAAAAAAACTTTATATAACTTACATATAATATAAGAATCATATATTCCTGTCCTAAATGTCATCGTTTTTTAGTGACTTTTATTGACGGAAACACATATTTATATGATATTCACATAATGTGTGTATATATTGAAGAGATTGAGAGATGTTTCCCATTTTAAAGACATTTATATTTAAAAGTAGAAACAAATCCCTCGAAGACATACATTACAGGCATTTGAACCGCAAGTCCCCAAAGAAAAGCCAATACGACTCGTCTTTGTCTAGCCTTTCATTTAAATAGAGAAAAGCCATTGAATGTGTGATAGAGTGACAAACTTTAAGCTAAGTGTCCAAAAGAGGTTGACTGTGATTACATTGCATGATATGCCCGATGGCCTCCGGTTTATGTGATTTATGGTATTATCCAAAAAGTTTGGATCAAAACTTACACAATATATACTGAATGCGAGATTTTATGTGTGAATTGTAAGCATTTTTAGTTAATTGAATGACAATCGATAATCACTTCAATTATGTTACGACAATAGCTGTCATTAATTATAAGATTCATTGCCATTATATTTAGATATCGCTGTAACTTATAATTAGATAATGTTTTATTATTATTCAAATGACATACAATTTAGACGTTTTATATAATTTATATATGCTTTGAAATATTTTGTTTTTATTTTAAAAATGATAATAATTATGATTATTATTATTATGACATAATTTTTTAATTCATTTATATTTTTATTTTTTTATGAATCGGTAATATCATAAAAGCGCACATTTCTTACACATCGTTGTTATTATAATATTTAAATTCAATAATTTGTTTTTTATATTGAAAATCAATAAAATCGATGTTTGGACTCAAATATATTTAAAATACAGCGAAGTATGAAATAAATGTTATAGAAATGTAGCGCCAAATGAAAAGTATATGAAAATATTATTTGTATTACTGAAGCAAAAATTTTTGCCATCAATTTTAAAGCGCAAACGAAATGACTTTTCATAATGTTTTCACTCATTAAAACTTTTACACTATTTTGTGACAAATTATTTTAACGCATTCATGCCTTCAGAGCAAATGAAACTCATTTCAGCGCTAAAATTGCCTTTAGTTTGTGCATTAAATCGACAGAATATTATAAATATATATAAATGATTATACAATTGTAATGTAATTATTCTTGCTTTTGAACTTAGATTCTGTCTAAAAGATTATTTGAGCAAATAATTCATAATATAAACCGAAATTTTTACTCATAAAATAATATTCTGTGTCTCATGAGAGAGACAAAGCGAGTGAGTGAGTGAGTGAGAGAGCGAGAGAGAGAGAGAGAGAGAGAGAGAGAGATTGATTTGGTGACAATAATTGTTGTCGAGATGATTGACTTGGAAACAGACTTAAATACCAAGTGATTGGACTCTCGTTTTGTTTGTCATTCATTAATAAGACGTTAATTCTTGTCTCACGAAGAATATGATTTGCATTGATATGTGTTTATGACATGTGTTTATCCTATCGCTGATTATTGAAATATTTTTAGACTAAACTAATATATCTGTTGTATTAATCAGAAATAATCTAATAGATTTAATTTAGCATATTTAAGGTTAGAGAAATTAAATTAAATCTCTTAAACAATATTAAATTTTAAAATTACTAAACGAGATAATAATATTTAAATTTAGAATTTATTCTGAGATTTTCAACACAAATATTAGTAATTTTTCAAGTTTTGTTAAAAATATTTTTTCTAAGGAATAATAAGGATGTTATAATTGTCGTAAAAACAAATATTAAAATTAAAGTACAAATAAATTTGGATAACAGTCCTTAATTACAATCACAGATACTGAAACATGAGTAAATAAACGTTAAATTTAGGCGTTAGACTGAATAAACAAACAATTGTTTAAAATAATTTCTGTATATTTAATAGTTATAAATACTAATACAAAGGTATAATATGTTAGTGTCTATGACTTTGTACTCATTTATTTGCAATTTATTAGGCGTTAGACTGAATAAACAAACAATTGTTTAAAATAATTTCTGTATATTTAATAGTTATAAATACTAATACAAAGGTATAACACTAAAATGCTTTTATCAATGGATATAATGTGTAAAAGTTATAACAAAACAAAATGAATTGAAGCGTTATTACAATTATAATTAATTTATACATACAGTAACGTTAAGTGCATTTAAATAACTGATAAATCAATAATCATTTTTGCGATAAAATATCGTTTATTAATCATAAATATGCATTGAATTCAATTGAAAGCCATAAGTGTTTCCTGACTTCAGAGAACCGGCGAAATGAAAGTTCACTATAAGTGCACTGAAATACAGTACATGTAAAGTGTATAATCAAAACTCTTTACCAATTTTGATCATTAAATACATATCGATAATTTTATAATCAGTTAAAGTATTTGTAAACTTAAATTGTTGTCAACGCCTAAAGAATGTGGACTTAATTATAAACGTGTAGTATATGGAGAATACATTGGATGTAATGTTTGAACACAACTCCTATTATGACAAGAAAGTAAGCGAAAAAGATGTTAAGCTATTTTTAATACGTGAGAGAGAGAGAGAGAGAGAGAGAG